GGATGGAGAATGCTGACATTCGTGTTCAGCACAAGTAATCTACGAATTAATATATTTCAAGGAATCTTGCCCAACCCTGATAAGGCAGGGAATTTCGGAAATTCTTGCCTCCAATCAAAACATTGCATTTTTTTACTTTCAAGAAACTTTGCACCCACAATTGTTGTTGTTAGAATATTAATCAGAAATCATGTAAAAAAAACACTGAAAAGCAAGAGAAAAGTCGTGGATTTTCGTGCTCGAATTATCTGAAATGTCCGGGAATTTTTAACTCCAACAAAACTTGTCACCCTACTAACAGCGATGATATCAATAGGTCATGATTCTGCTCGTTTTGCTCCATAACGGTCTCACTAATACCACCATATTTGGCAATGCTACCACTTGTTGAAGATGATGTATTATTGATAGGATACAGTGACTACATATTTTCTAGAATAATCTCCAGTTGGTTTAGATATTATTTACTTATTTATTTTTTTCAAATTGATTAAACTTCAGGCAACGACGACATGAGAATGCAACGAGTGACACATTTGGTTATCACCAGCTGAAAAATTTGAGGCGTTCCTGCTTTTTCAATGGCCTGGTCTAAATGCAACTATTTCTGTTCCTGGGATGTCTGTGTTGCATACACAAAAAATTGTGGGTGCTCTGGTTTTCCTCGGCGCAACGTATAGCCGCGCGCTGTTGCTAGTTCTCAATGGTTTTCTACGTTGCATTTACAATCGTGTTTACCATGAAATCCTCGAAATTCGGATGAGTCCTGTATTACCGAAGAAGTGTTGCAAAATGATGCTAATCGCGGAAATTGTATCGCTTTCAGTAAATTAATGGTTTAACGTCCACGATACCTTTGCGGAAATGTTTTTGGTGGAAAAAGTGCACCATCTGAAAAAACTGCTGTGGTGGACTCATCCGAATTTCAAGGATTTCATGTTTAACACGGTTGGAACCCTTGGCCCTTGAGCACTAGCAACCGCATGCCATACGTTGTGCCGAAAAAAACAAAAGCGCCTGCAATTTGTTGTGTATACAACACGGACATCCCGAGGCCACGAATAGTTGCATCCAGACTTAGCCATTGAAAAAGGCGAAGCGCCTTCAATTTTTTCCGCTTTCATAACAGAACGTGTCACTCATTTCATTCCCACCTCGTCGTAGCACGAAGATAGGGCAGAGGATTTAATCAAATTGGAAAAAAAATGAGTAAATTCAGAATAAATATCTAAATAAAATTAAGATTATTCATGCGGCAGTCATCCGCCTGACTCAATCGTAAATTATTCACTTCACACAGAAAAAAATTGAATGTTGCTTCAGCATTCATAATGTTAAAAAAATGAGCGACAAATATAAATGCTGATTTTACAACAAAAAAATGCTATGTTAACTCCGTCCACAGTTGAATGAACAAATTCAATGTTGAGTTAGCATTTTTTCAAATGTCAAATCAGCATTTGGATACTTGTCGCACATTTTTTTAACAGTTTATATGCTAAATCAACATTCAATTTTTTTCCGTGTACCTTTGAGTGCCTTTTGCGTGACCGTTTCCTTTAAACACGAGTGGGATCACAAGATTCCAAGACATTTCGTCAACAATTTTCTGTCCGCGCACCTGTTTTGTCCAGTAGCTTACGTCCACGCGTGAAATAAGCAACAATGACTTGGTCCAAGCGACATACACGTATTTTAGCCCGTATGTAAAATTATATTGATAATGTCGAAATTAGAAAATTGAGCGAGAAGGAGGTGTTGTTTTGGCAACCCATTTTTTAAATGAAATGTTACTTTCCTCTTTTGATTCATCTTTTCAAATTGTCATTGGTGAATATTTGGTTTTATTTCTATCCTAAAAATTTTCGGTTTATAATGTAACTTAGATAATCTTTTTTTTAATGAAAATATTTCTTCATTTTAAAAAAATGTACATTTTTAAAACGTAGCAAACATTTTTAAAACTTTTTTCAAGCGATGGCATTATTATCAGTCTCAATGAGCCGTAGTTGTGTTGAAATAAACTGTACAAAAATGAATAAAAAAGGGCAAAAACCCAAGAAGCACGCAGTCTTTGGTTTTAACCCATTTGTACATCGATATTTTAGAGTCAAATACGTCCAATTTTTAGTGTTTGATTGCGCGTACACCATGCTGCAGCACAGTAATAGCATAAAGTATGATCGAAAAATTAAAGTGCTCTGGAAATCATTGAATTTGACACGGAACTACCTAAATATTTACAAAACACAAAGGGTTTTCCTTTAATACAATTTTTTTCCCCCATCAATTTTGATGAGAATAATTCATGCAGAGCGTGCAAACATTTCAAAATCATGAGTTGAAAAACGCTGACTCCGCGAGTTTAAATATTAGAGCCAAACACAGCGGAGCCCGGACGGCGTGCTGCCAGCGCGACACGCGCATTGGTGCCTACAAACCTAACAGGGATACTTCACGAATTGCGCAATGCGTGAAGTATCCCTGTTAGGTTTGAAGGCGCCAATGCCCCGCATTGCGTAATGCGTGAAGTATCCCTGTTAGGTTTGTAGGCGCCAATGCGCGTGTCACGCTAGAGCTGGTCAACCTCGTCCGCCGTGCCGCGCCACGGCGCTTCAAGCAACTATTTCACAACAGAGGTGTTGCACAGTATCACACGAAATTGAAGGCGTTCCAATGTATTGGGAATGACAGGCATCCTTTACGAGCACGGAGCTTTCCTCGCAAGATAAATCATGATACTATCACAAAAAGGGAGCGGTAGTCGGTAGTCCAAAAACTCGCAAGTCCAAAGTCCTCGCATCCGTATTTAATAACGTTCAGCATAATTTTCGGATTTCATCAGAGAGAAAAGTGACTCGATTTAGGCAAAAACATTCTCGAGTATGCCGTCAAGGAGATTTTATTTTGAATCAAGAATAGCTAAATGAAAGCGGGTTTCTGCTTAATGAGTGTGACTTTTATTTTTATACAAGCCTATTTACTTCTTTAAACAAGCATTATTTTCTTTATTGCTTCGTAAGGTAAAAGTTCATTAAGTAAGGTTCTTTTCGGCGGTAAATTTGAGCTTATTTTTGCTTGAATCAAGTCTCTTTGTCCTCTAATGAAGTTCAAAAATCATGTTACGTTATTGAATACAGTTAATAGGACCCACTTAGTATGTTTTTAGACCACCGCTCTTTTTATCGTCGTCATTCGCTTCAATTTGCGAGGGAACTTCGTGCTTTTGAAAGATGCCATCAATCATGATACGCTGGGGTGCCTTTCGATCTTATATGATTCCGTGCAACACCTCCGTGGCGAAATATGTTGTAGCTCGTAGCGCTGCGGCACGCCGGCGCTGTCGCGGAGTTATCCTACACAGGAAAAATCTAAGAGCCTTCAGTTGAGGCAAATCAAAAGGTTTATCCGGTCCAGGTACAACAAGACGGGACTTTCTAGAAAGATACTTGACAACAAGTGACAAGTTGACTTGGAATTAAAAATTCCCTGACTTTTAAGATGGTTTGAACTTACAAATTCCTGATTTTCCCATTTCTTTTCAATGCTTTTTGGCATAGCTCCTAATTAAAATTCTAATCACGAACACTTCTGAGAGCAAAGCGCATACTTCGGTCTTTCATCGGTCGTAATCGAGATTGGCTACCGCAATGCCTTTGCGGAAATGTTTTCGGTTTATGATTTTCGGAAATTTGCAACATTTTGCAACGCTTGCCGAGTGCTGCACGACTCATCCGAATTCCAAGGATTTCATAGTAGTAACACTGTAGCAAACATTGTGAATGCAGTGTAGGCAGTCGTTGAAATCAACGGCCGCAGTCAGGTTGTGCCCAAGGAATTTAGAGTGCCTGCAATTGTTTGCGTATGCAACACGGACATCCCTGGATCACGAATAGTTGCATCCAGACCTAGCAATTGAAAAATCCGGTGCGTCATCAGTTGTTTCACTTGTAATAACAAAATGTGCCTCTTATTGCCGTCGTATGTCGTCGTTTACTAAAATAGATAGCTTTGAGTATTTTATCAAGTTGAAAGAAAGAAGAAATGAGTAACTAAATATTAATCACAAAACGTTCGAACAGTGCGGACCGACTACAAAGTTTTTGCCAGGTTTCATCTGTTACCTCAAACCTCAAAGGGACAGACAGGATTTTAGAGTGGCAATGTCATCCACGGTGACCGATTTTTACACGTTTGCTTAAAAACCCGTCACCGCCAAGGATTGACCCGGTAAAAATCATGATGTGACAAATCTAGGTAGAATTTGCGGGACAAAAGATCTGAAATCGTCACGTGACTATTTTTTGAAGAATCGGCGGATACATTATTATGGTCTCAGATTTTTGCGTGATGATTTGATAAAATCTTATTAGTAAATTCTGGAGACATTATTACTAGTTCGAATAATCCAGGATACCTAAAATGGCTGTACAACGAATCGCCTAACAACTCTTAGAGGTGCAGGAATGATGGTCAGCCGCTGGGCTTTTGATTCATTTGCTGCTGACATGACGTAGTGTAGTGATGAGGTATCATTCAGCACTTTAGTTGTGGCAATGTTAATCTCGTCCATTTTGCAGTTGCCCGTTTAGTTGAATTTACAAATTACCTGATTCGGGTCAAAAGCAATAGCAGAAGAGACCGTCATAATAGGCTTGTTATATTTACACGTCAACTGATACGAAGATGTTTAGAAATCTAATAAAAAATTATTCTGTTTCAGAATTTGCATACCGGTCAAATCATCATATTCAATGATTTAAGCTCACAAAGCTCTTCCAAAGGTTCAGCATCCAGTAAATCTACAAAATCGGGAGCAAAATCAGGAGCAAAATCAACTACCCCAGCATCTCCTAGTGGTGACGTCCCTGGACTCAGCTCTCAATGTCTCTCTGTACCAGCAACTGGTAATTTCTATTTTCTTTCATACAGATTCTCTGAAAACTCTTTGGTTTCCCTAACGCTTTTAAATCTCAAAATATCACCTAAGTCCCCCAAAAGCTACAATCTATAGAATAACGTGCACATGTCGTAGGCAAGTAGCAATCGTCGGCAATTTGCACGCGGACATGCGCATTTGCATTGCGCTTTTTCGACGAATTTCAAAAATGCTCAGCGGCATAACGTAGATTTCAATGGGAATGACCTCCAGAAGCTCTCGGCTTAGGGCGCCTTCATTTTTCTGTGATACCCAACGCTTTGTCAAGAAGTTAGTTTCGTTGTCTATCCGATCTAAACCCAACTAATGTCACTGATTTCACCGTACGTTCACGCGAGTATGCCAGGAGTTACCATGCGTTTACGTAGGGGGGGGGGGGCGTCTATTTAAAATTAGGTAAAGCAAAATAACAGGTACTCTCCTCATTTTTCTTTATTTCTGAATTTTATGATTTTATATTTATCACTAGCGGCTTGCGAATTGCTGGCAACTGCTGATTTCCTGCGACACATATAAGCTATTCTCCTTTTCCCCTCTCTGTACGTGTATTTTTGTTTTTTTCCAGACTTTGAACGTGTTGGTTATTCATTTTTGTTTCAGAGGTCGGTCCTGGTGCTTCCAAGCAAGGGGATTATAAAAACCCTGAGTATTTTTGCTACAATGACGCCTCCTTTTTTGAAGCTGAAGTTGAGATGAGCAAATTTCGTTGTCCCCAGCCATCCGCCAAAAGCATCTCTCCACAATAGTCTCGAAGCTCACCTAGGATTTTTAATTGAACAGAAATCATTGAAAATGGGGTTTTTTCGTATATTCTATCGAAAGGGACCTCTGAATAGGCTAGATTCACTTTCTCTGCCGTGTAATTTATTTCAGGATTTTAACTTATTTTCACGGAAGCCTTGCTCCGGGCCGAATTCAATTTTTTGCGTTTAACCCTCTGTCCACGATTGTCTTAACCTGATTTGTTTCCGGCAGTGATTTGGCTACTGAAATGCCATTCCTAGTCCTCAAAGATTATAGAAAAATGGTCGTGTGCTGCATTTAACCATTTTCTATTGGGCTATATCGAGACATTCAGGCTTTGCGAGCCTCATCAAAGTTTACACTAATCGGGATGTGTTATCAGATTTTTCCGATCACACTACTTTCGCACGAAAGAAGCGTACGCAAAAGTACGGTGGTTACAAAATGAGCTGGGGAACAATAAAGTTCAGTCAACTCCTGTTCAAATAATTTTCAGTTAAAATTAACTTTTAGTCGCTCGTGCTCGTATAACAAAACTGACACAAAAAGTTCGAGAAATTGTTAATATTTGTTAACGGTTACCTTCCGCCCTCAAAATTACATTTTAAACTTAGCAGAACATTTTTGAATTGTAAAAAACATGAATTTGTTTCTAGCCAATCGTGTTGATTGTAAATAAAGTCGTTAATTAAATTTCCTTTACTTTTTCTTTCATCTTAAGTTAGTGTTTCTTTCGGTAAATCGATGGCCCAAGTGTGAAACCACGTATTCTCACTGTGGTTTTTCGGAATTTCCGCACCTATTCTCTTTTTTTGAAGAGGAGCAAACCAGTTTTATAGCAACAGAGAGGAAAATTCAAGGGAGATTTATAGAAATTACATTCACTAGTTTTCCTAAGAAAAATTAATCATGTCAGGAAGTCTCCAACATCGCAAACGGAAGTACGTGGTTTTGCACTTTGGCCATCGATATTTGTCCTTTGAACTTCTAAAACATAAAAAATGAATAATTTTCATCGGCAAACGTTGTGATGAATTCTCAAATAAATACTTATGTAAGTAAAGGATTCTTTAATCAGTGAATGCAACAAAGGGTACCTAGTCCTATATTTACTTTATTGTTGCACCTACCTATAGGACAAACTACTCCCTACTTGTGTACATTATGAGTATCTGAAAGAAAAATATGTATAAAGAATTCCTCCGCCATTTTGCCACTGCGCTTCCGATTAAAATTAAAACTATTTTAATACTTCGATTGTATCTCGCAAAAAGGAACCAAGAGCATTCCAATGTCGCTACAGTCGCTAAGATTGTGCAACTTTTTTACCTTGCAAACATAAACGATCATCTAAACTAGTTTCACCTCTACTCCCAATGAACTATGAATTCAAGACGAAAATTACCGTCATAAAGTTTACTTTTTGCAAAGAATGTACCTAAGTTGCACAATCCCAGCAACACTGAAATGCTCTTAGTTCATTTTTGCAAAATGCAGTCTAATTGGTTGTTGCTGCAAAAAAATAGTTTCCCACAACCTGCTGTACAATGCTCCGGTGACCACATAAGTTGGCCCGAGCACAAGCTTTTCGGGAATAAAGCCTTTCCCCTCCAGATTTTTCACTTAATATCCGCCCGAGTTTCGCATATCATCCGTTTCTCCTCATCGCAGCTTTCATCAAATCGCAATTGCCCGGAGACTAGGACCGCACATCTTATCTGATAAAGTCGTTCGCCCTTTAGACCAATTCTGAGGGATTAGGCTCGACTAGTCGATGAGTCAATTGTTGGTCTAATTTCATCACGTGAACGCAGAAGAAAAACGGGGTATACAAAAACACTAATGCGTGATCAATTTTCAAGGACAATTCTGTAATTTCTCCCACGATTGTAGATAGATTAAAACGCGTAATATCCAAAATATAAGCTCAGATTCGGATTCCTCGTGAAAAATTGATGAGATTTCATGCATCATATGTTAGAATAACGTGAAGGAAAGAGGTTTAGTGACGTATAAAAACACTAATGTGTGATCAATTTTCAAGGACAATTCTGTAATTTCTCCTACGATTTTAAATAGATTAAAACGCGTAATATCCAAAATCTAAGCTCAGATTCGGATTCCTCGTGAAAAATTGATGAGATTACATGTATCATATGTTAGAATAGCGTGAAGGAAAAAGGTTTAACGACGCGTTTAGATTCTGTCATACTCCCCGTTTGAACTACGCCGCCGCGCCGGTCGCCCGAGTGAAACCAAACGGGGAGGCGCCGGCCGGCGCTTAGCATTCGGTTTCGCCCCATAGTTTCGTCGCGAGGAATTCCTCACGATAAATTCTTATTCTTCCTCCTTCGCTGACCCACTGAGCACTACCCATGTTGCCACGTCGGATTCATCGGATTCACGTCGGATTCATTCAGCGTCTCGGATATGCTCGAATCAGTACGCCTACGTTACGTCTCTTTCCTTCACGCTATGCTCGGGTATGATACATGAAATTGCATCGATTTTCAACGAGGAATCTGAATCTGAGCTTCGATTTTGGGTATCACGCGTTTTAAATCAAAATCTGTCAAAATTCAAAATTCGAAAATCCGAAAAGACTGAAGTGGCTTAACATGTTATCTCGGCTCCTGTTCGATGGAATTTTCTGAAATTAGGTGTCCGGAGGTATTTTTCAACGAGGAATTCGAATTTTTGGTCAGATTTTCAAAATTTCAAAATCCAAGATGGCGGCCGTGGCCTAAAATGCTAAGTTGGCTCCTGTTTGATCGATTTTCGTGAAACTCGATATCCGGATGTATTTTTCAACGGGAAACTTGAATTTTTGGTCAGATTTTCAAAATTTCAAAATCCAAGATGGCGGCCGTGGCCTAAAATGCTAAGTCGGCTGATTGTGGATGAGGACAAAGATAACATATTCGCCACTATTCACCATACTTCGTTAAAAAAAGTAAATTCGTTCTTTTAAAAGTTAATAGCTATGAGGGGCGGCTCGCGGAACGAGTCGCAAGTTCATCGCGAAGCAAGGAACTGGGGGTCCAGGGGCACTCCCCGGCTAGGCGTGACACCTCGCATACAGCGAGCTGAACACGGCTAGTAGTTTATATATGTCTTTGATATGAGCGGCCCAGAGCCGCTCTCCAGCGGCAGTGCGCTGGAGTTACTGCCTGTTTTAAATAGCAAGTTCTCAATTTCAATTTTCAGAAACTTCCTTACGATTTTTCCTCGCCATGCGAAGGAAATTTCAATTTTCAAGGAACTATGTTGATTCTTTCTCCTTAAAAAAAGTACCTAAAATGTAGGTGCGTATATTTTTAAACACTGCAAATAAGATACTTATGGTTTGGCAGTTTTTTCTTTAATAGAGTAAGTATGTATGCTGTGTAGTGAGCATTCATAATTGGGTCGCCGCGGTCACGCATAAATTGAACCAAAAAAGTATTAGGTCAATAATCAAAGGTGCTTTTCATTTGAAGACACCCCCCCCCCCCAATTCCCCCGGATGGATAACGAACCCCCTGGAAATCACGAATAGTCATTTATAGGGACAGTAGATCATGCACATATATCTCATTTCATGCCTTTTTGTTGAGGGCATTCGTATACAGACATCGTCGCTTGAAGTATATTAGCCCTCAATTTTGCTGGATAGGCAAGAAACCTACCGGAGAGCACAAAAACCTAGGGTCAAAATTTTTCCCATTTTTCCCAGCCTAAATAATAATTTTTCTTCATGGATAGTTGTGTTTCATTTCTTCAGTTAGGTTCAAAGCCAATTCTTTCTCGAGAAGTCCCTTTCTCGTACGTTCACCCCTAAATCTCAGTAATAATCTCCCAAATCATGATTACTTGATCGACTCGATGACCCAACTCTCCTCCATTAAGTTTCTTGATCGTATGGAAAAAGTCCATACCTAAAAAATTAACGGCTGAAATAACGTTAAATAACTGCATTTTTCTAAATGATAGCCATAAAAAATTGTTGATTAGAGACAACCGAAGCCCAACAGCCAATAGCGTTTCAACTGATAACTTGACGAGGCTTCTCTATAAAAACCCCGGCAAGCCTAAACTCGATGTCTAATTTCAATCTTTAGACCCATAGGTCTTCTTATTTCACAATATTTGTGTAAGTTTCCTCCGTCTCTCAGTCCACGGGCTCACGCTATCCATTCCTTCAGTGCTTCACCATCTTCAGAATTTGTGCAACATTCAACTTTTCAAAAAAACGTATTTGAATTCGGTTCCCATTTTTTGAATTTTGTGATTCCTCATTTCAATTCTGTGCAAAATGCAACTCTGAAATACAAGTGATCCGCGAATATGAACTGTTCTCATATAAGACATAGCTGGACCAGCTATGCCTCGCTCATCCCTCGAGGCACCCGATCTTATGCGGCCCCGGAAGAGGGCACTGGGGCAGCCTATGCATGACTTGGCTCTGCGGGTGCCTCATACCCGATATACCCAATTGGATAGCCTGCGGTAAACAGGGCCAGAAATCCGAAGGTTTCTGACCCACAAGAGACATCGTTAACAAAGAAGGGACGTAGAGATGACTTCACTGACAACGTGCATATCCACAGATGACTAGGAATGGAAGAACACTTGATCAATATTAAAGAGATTGATTAGATTGGATGATTAACATCAAAGTTAAGTAAGGGCTTTTAAGTTAAGTTTAGAGTTTATAACGGTTTTCATTACAATTACTACGACGAGCCCCCTTGGTCGGAGACTTTTGGGAAAAAAATAAAATAAACAAACTGTCCGCTGAATTACGCACTATCTTTCCGTTTAGACGACATAACGCGTGACGCGAACCGTTCAAACGCAATAAACGCTTACATAAAGTGAAGAAGAAGAAAGGGTAGAATGGTAATTAAAGGGCTGATAGGTATTAAATATTAGAACTCATAGAACAAAGGGCATAAGTAATGAAGGGCTGAAAGTTAACACCTCTCTCATCCGGTGGAAAATGATTAAAGCATCCGTGTCCAGCGAGCAGTTGAGTTGGATAAGAAGTAGTCTCTCCATGTTTCCTATCCAGCCATTTACGAGGGTCGGAGATGAGTTTCCTGGTCCGAAAATCTTTGTCTATAGGCTTCTCTCCCAGTTCTGAGCCGATTTTTCCCTGATCTCAAGTTTTATTCGCGGGTATTCTTCATTTGAAGCTCCATGGATGGGATTCCGGATATCAAGTCCAAAACCGAGTTCGAAGTAGTTCGATATGCCATACAAAGTCTTAACTTGCGCGGTCTAACTGTTTTCGTGAGCAGCTAGATGTTTTTCCTCTTAACTTGGATGGAGGCCCAGACATTTACCGTGTGAAACACAATAGAGAGGATATTGCCGCAACTATGAGTTTATTTTTATCGGAAGAGGGACCATTAATGGCAGGCATAACACATGAGAAGGATTTGATGACTGTAGTGACCTTTTCAGCAATTTAGACAAAGTGCGAGTATCAAACGAGCCGTCACAATCCAACCAGACTCTCAGAGACATAACACGTGTATCTATTATCTTGCTTTGATCTAACCGACGAGGTGGAATGGAGGTGAGGGTTTTCATTGATTCTGTCGCTTGAAATTCGCCTTCAGTTCAGCCGAATATGCAATGAGCCAACCAAAAAGCGAGTGAACGCATTCATTTCGCTCCTTGTCTTGATTGAAAAAAATGCTCTACCTATGAACCTACTCGAGGTTATATTGTCTACCAGATTTTTTTCCCTCCTCATTTTCCCGGCCAGGCAACATAATATGTTTTATTGCCAGCGAGCATATCAATAACATTTTTGGATTGATTAGGACTGAAGAAAACCAAAACTCTCAACTAGTGTGTTGTGTCAGATGAAGGGGACGTAGTCTAATGGCATTATTAAGAATCAAAATTATTCGACATTGCAAATAGGTATGGGGATTTGTGGTGTTTTTGAGAGAGCCGGGAAATAATGAAAGAACGAATTGAAGGGTCGAAAGAATTAAGTGTATTGAATCAAAGAATGGAACTTAGAATGGAATGCCTGCACTTGGAGAGGGCAAAAACTAAAATTAATCCAACCAAAAATCTCAAAAAACCATTGTTCCACAAATTCCATTGGAACAGATCCTCTATTAAGAACTTTATAAGATTACGAATAGGACATGGTCTATTCCCAACTCACCTTAAACGCATAAACCTCAAAGATACCGATAAATGAGAATGTGGCCTGCTAGGCGATCTAAACCATATCCTCCTTCCAATGCGAGAAACTAAAAGACAGAGATAAAATGTTTCAAGACTTAAAAAATATAAAATATCCCCCCCCTACAATATAACTTCATTATTACATAAACCCTCGTTAAGAAAATATAAAATAATAAATAACTTCTTAACTACCAATAACATATCCCTCTAAAGGTCCTATCCCATAACTACTAAATTTCCACTAGTCCAACCCAGTAATTCATACAACCCGTCTATTCCCTACCAAACAACTTGTCCTGATTGTTCACTTGGTATGTTCTCCATGGCTCAGTCAATTATTTTCTTACTAGTCGCTATGTGTTGAGCCTCTTAGCGTGAAGCTGGTGTAGGGGACTCTTACTTTACTATCTACCCACCCAACTCTCTAAAAACCTTAAAGAATTCTACTATACCTACATTCCTATTCTTTAAACCCCTCGTATCATTAATATAACCCTCTCTGTCTATAGATGGCTGTAGATTCCTATCTAAACAATACAAAGGAATAGAAGCCACAAAACTCAAAAAAAAAAAAGAAAAAAAAAAAGTGTATTGAAACTGTAGGTTATACATGAAATACATCATGAATGTCACACTTTGAAATAAAAAGCCGAGAGGAGTAAACAGGCTTCACTGTGCTCCGAGGGTCGTAGATGGAAAAAGACCTCGAGAAATAGGCAGCCCGCGTTTACATAGCCTCGCTGACGTCACGGATGGTGGGAAAACAAGACCACATGTGATTGGCTGGCTATAATCAATGGAGCTATCAGCTGCAAGTCTAGTCATTAGGTCAGTGGGTAAGGGCTGGACGATAAGTGAAAAAGTTGAAGTTTAGGACGAAAAATGAACAAATCCAGCCAGGCCCGCCACATCCCATCTCGGGCCTAGGTACCAGTTTTAAGGTCCGGGCCCTAATCACGGAGGGGGGGGGGTCCGAGGGGTATCCCCCGAGAAATTTTAGAATTTATACGACTAATCGGATGCATTTTGAAGCTTCCATAAAGAATTTTTCCATCAATTTCTGCGGAATAATTATGTTTTTTTTTCTACTTTCAGCACAAAATACTTGCGAATTGTTGCATTCAAAACATCTGGAAAATTTTTATTTTTTTGTTTTTGGAGATGGGGGCATATGATAATATTTTCAGTTCTAAGAGGGCCAGGCCCACCTGGACTCCCCCTCCGTTTGTCTATGGCAAGGGCCACTGAAGTCGAGGATGCCCAGACTGGAGACTCTTAGCATCTGACGACGGAAGAAAATGAAACGCAGTTACTGAAAATATCCGTCTGTACTGAAAATCTTGAAAATAGATAGAAATTTGCCAAGAAGTATACTTCTTTGAAAATTTAAGAAGAATTCTACAGTGCCCCAGCGTGTTTCTGAAAATCTATTCACCTTTTGCGAAATTTTTAGGGTAAATTTTTCACTTTTTCTTACGAAACAAGGGTTGCATGTGAATTCGTAGTGGTTTTTAACGGGTAACACGGGCCCCGGTATCAGGGACCCATTATCCCCCCCCCCCTTATGGCGGGCCTGAATCCAGCCAACACCGATGACTAGATGGAAAATGTAAGTCAAATAGGATAATACTATACTGAAAATGAAAGGGAAAAATTACCTATGGGACTTTTCAGGGCACGTGAAACAGTGGTTAACCAAGCCCAAGGCATGCACCTGTTGAAATTCTAGGTAAAAGGAAACTGACTCTTAAAATGGAGGTGATAGAACTTGCTCTTAAAACGTATTTAAAATCTAAAAATAAGTACGCCCACTTGACCTTGCGCTCTATTCTAAAATTATAACCTCTCATTACAGCAATCTGGTTATTATAAGAGCTAGAAATATGTAGATGATTTTCTCTGTGCTCATGAAATCGCGTATAGTACTCAAATTGTTGGATTAGTTGTATGATGAATTCTTACTCATCATACTATAGTGCTCATTTAATTATTAGCAAGTGCGCTGCTACCACAGCATGGTAAACATTTGTGAAGTTCGCTTCCCATTAGTGGTTTTGGTTTTGACAAGCCTCGTCGAAATCGGTGATGATTACTGATCGTAACGCAAAGGAAAGAGTATCGACATCGCACATTCCGTCATTTCTTTCGTCTTTCTCGCAGCCTCGAACTGTCAAAACTGATAAATCATTGTCAGAACCTCCTGTTTTGTATAATACCTGAAATGTAAATGCAAAAAAAAAAAAAATAAAAAAAATAAAATGACAATAAACAATGGTAATGAATGTATAATTAATCCACATTGAACTCATTGAAGCCTATTCTTCATCCACTTACCACGCGGTTTCATTGGTCTATAGAATGTACATCATTTTAATTAGATCGCTATACTTTCTTGAAGAAAATCATTTTATGACACATGCCTATCTTAATCAACAGCGACAAGATATTAATAAAAGTAAAAAATTAAATGAAGAATGTCTAAGTACCTATATTCTTTTTTGCTCTTCATATCTCAGCAAACCGGGTAGATCCCAATCAATCTGCCAGAATTGAGGCTTATTTGGATGCAAAAAGGGTATTTCTTGGTTGCGGTATTTGAGAATCTCCGCACTGCTAATTTATATTTTAGAGAACAACTATAGACCACTGACAAGATACAAAGTTAAGCATTCTGGTACATGTTTCTTACCCAAAATTTTACGTAGAACACGATTTGTATGACGAAAATCACTGGATCAACTCCTAACCAATATATTTAATGTTTCTTGGCGCGTAAATTTAAACCTCCTGCTCGTGAAAACTCAATTATATATGTGAGTTAAATCGCACACTAAAAATTATTATGACAATCTCTGCGATATGAAAATCCGGCAACCTCGATCTTGACGCTTTGGTTCAGCTGCAGCATGCAGGCTATTTCCATTTAAATCTTCTGACACATTCTTACGGCGCAATGATACAACTATTTGAACTCTCCGGAATGCGTGAGGTGTCAAGCCGCATTTGAAGGCGTTTTCAAATCAGCCAAGTTCCGATACCCGGATTATCGTTTTGCATAGTTCATATTCTTTTGTTATATTCCGTGCCACTCGTTCTTTTTTAATCCTCGTAGAAAAACCACCCATTTGTAAATACAATTTTAGCTGGTGCGCACTTCAGCTATGCATTCACCACTGCAAAAATCGGACCCCTCCTCCCCCTCCGTGCTTGGGGCCCGGACCTTAAAACTGGTACCAGGGCCCGAGATGGGATGTGGCGGGCCTGGCTGCAGCAAGTTGTTGATAGTTTGAACACAGGGTGGGAAATGAACAGAGCTGGATTGAGAAGCCTGCCGAAACCGTTGTAATACGCGATTGGACTCACGTAGAGTATTGAGTTTCGTGTGATCGGGCAGTTCGAATTTCCCGCGGCCAATGTGAAATAAAAACATTGATATCGTAGAAAGGAAATGATGTTGGTAATGTTTGATCCAAGAATCGTGTTCTACGTGAAATTCTGGTTTCAATGTTTAAATTCGTACCTTGTCTATGTCTAGTCGTCCATCGGGTGAATTTTTTTAAATTTTTAGTTTTCAGCATTTTAAAATCACAAAGCAAACTCAGTAAAAGTTTAAACGAATTGCAGTTATTTGCTTTAATTATAAGGATGAAACGTCAACGGAGATCCCTTTTTTAAGCGTGCCAGTAGGGCTCGCTTTTTGAAATCACTTGGATGTACCATAGTACATCACACCGATAAACCAATGCTATTCAACGGGCCGTCCAAATATTTTTTCCTCGGACCCGTTTTTTTTGTCTTTGAACCGTTATACTGCCAAGCCCTGATGGTCTTTTACCAAAAAACTGAATGAACTGTTGATTGGAAACCCTTGAGAACATTTTCCGGTCAAAACCGTATTATTTCATTTGACAGATCCTTCAAAAACCCTTTTTTACGCTAGAGCGATTTGAATCTAGAATATTTTTTCCCGCCGCACTTTAATGGGTGCTTCGTACCCATTGACTATACAACATGAGCCCTATGCATTACTCCATGATAGAATGCCATATCAAAACAGCTGATATTATTAGCTCTTGGTTCAAGCTCATGTCTCCGAAATTTCAGTTGTTCGGCACGCTTTTCCAACATATTCATGTTGGATGTTTCTCCTTGTTTACTTTTTATCTCAATTATGCGTAGAAGAGTGCTCCAGATTGGGACTGTGGCACAAATCAAC